GTGTGTCATGAGATGTAATGATAGTTTGATTATTCATTGCAGCTTCCTGGTTTTATCAGAGGCATGTCCATGGGACCTTTATTGATTGGTAGATGGAGTGGGAGGGGAACGGGGGGGGGGGGGGGGTGGCGGGGATGTAGTGATGTGGGATGTTTATACCATGGCTGCCACACTCCATGCCTCTTAATGGACTATCATCACCACCACCATCATCATCATCATCATCACCACCACAACCCCCATCACCATCATCATCATCAACATCATCACCCCCACCATAATCATCATCAACACCACCACCACCACCACCACCACCACCACCGCCATCTCCATCATATCATCATAACCACCACCATTACCATCACCATCATCATCATCATCACCATTTTTAGCATCACCATCATTAGCATTATAACTATCATCATCATCATCATCATCATCATCACCACCACCACCACCACCACCATCTCCATCATCATCATCATAACCACCACCATTACCATCACCATCATCATTATCACCATTTTTAGCATCACCATCATTAGCATTATAATTATCATCACCATCATCGTTACCAATACAATTATTAACACCATCACCATCATCGTCATCATCATAGTTATCATCAGCGGCAACATCTTCATTCTCATCACCATCATCATTACCACCACCATCATTATCATCGCCAATGCAATCGCTCGCCCGCTTCAATTGGTCGCAAAAAAATGACCCTCAATTGGAGCATAAACGTACGTTCATGATTGGAGCGACACTGTAAGTTCGTGATAGACAAATTACAAATAGACCACCTCGCTGCCAGTGTAAGACATGGTAGTTGCAGGAATATGGTTAATGACGAAATAACATGTAATACTTGCTAGGTCGTGTAGATTATGCAAGTTTCCTGTTTTGGGCTATTTTTTCACAAGGCGACGTGAAACTCCTGTTTAAACATTTTCAGTAAAACGTACAATTATATTGTGGAATAGTGATGGCCGAAAAACGGAAGACAAAATATCATCAATGGAAGCAATATTTGATCACGAATATTGAGGAAGCGCCCCCAAAGATTCTTTTTTCATTATTTGGGAGTTGACCAAAATAAAGATGGCGTGCACCAAAAACATGGATGTGCCCCTAAAATACACTTGGGGGCGTCTAGCCAGTCTTTCCTCCTGAATCTGCATCAGAATACGATGACAGAATAATTTCTAATGATGGCGTGCATATGGATGAGCCCCCTAACAAATATTCGAACGACAGTCTTGTGGGGAGGGGGAGGGAGGGGCGAGAGATACGTCTCCACTGCCCCTCACTTTGAACCCGCTTCAAAATTGATGTCTGCGCCGATAGACTAGTTAATGTTTCATCGCAGTGAGGAGTGACTTATCTCTTGCTCGTAGCATCATCCAAGCCAAGGTGACGAGTACTCGAGAGGCCAAGGATATTTAGGTCCAAACAAAGTAGGTCGGGATCAACTCTATCTGATGATATTGCTGCCCTGAGATCAGAAAATGTCTTCAGATCAATCTAGATACTAGGCCTGTCTTCATCGAGTTTGCCAAATAACCCGCTATTTCAACTATCCCGATCGCAAATTAACAGTGCAGTTAATTTGCGTCTTCATCAGCCCGCAGTTGCAATTAGCGGGATATTTGGTCGATAAAATATCCCGAGGAAAGATGCCTTGTTAGTTATCTTAGAAGCGAAAATGAGAGGTGTAATAGAGATGAGATAAAGGAGGATATATATTTGACCAGTTGGTAAGACGGGCGAAAATCTATGATTGGATAAGAAGGAGAGGCAGACGTGACATAGAATGTAGGCAACTGGTGATTAGTGAAGGAGGTAAGAGAGACAATGATAGCAATACCAACGTCTTGTTGACAGTCTCCTTCACCTCACAAAGAAACGGGTGTATGGGACTACATTCAAATATCGCATAAAGGTATGGTCCAAACTTTTCGGCTATATTTTCTCATTAATTCGAATATGAGAGCATTTGACGAGCACTGCTCTACATTGACATTTCTACTTTGACATACTTCCGAACTGATGCAGAAGAAATGCTGGTATCTCCTTGGAATGAGAAAGGTCACAAATTATTTTTTATCACCTCTACATTATTTCGGAACCTATATTATTAAACTGGGTCAACCATGTGTGACCTCTATTTTCTGACCCTCTCTTGTAATTCCACACCTTCAAGTGTACATTAACCATTAGGTTTATTTGTATTAGGTCATGATAAGACTAAAATGATATCAGGCCAAGGCTAAATAAATGCTCCTTTTATTTTCTTTCACAAAAGCTTAATAAAGAATTATACGGCATGTCATTCTAAAGGTACATAGCCTACTTTCAGAGGTCAATGGAGTTTACTTGAGGGAGTTACTGTACTAATGGATAATTGAAATACCTGCACATTTCATACCAATGTTCGTTCATGCACTCATTCATTTCGAGTGGTACGAACGTTTTCAAGATTGATGATAACTTTTATTTTAATGGAGTCATCAAACAAGGTCGACCGTGTAATGTTTCTGCAAACTGGATCACGTCAATCCCTACTGCAATCTACCTGTGTATTTCGTTTTCTTTTAAGAAATTAAATTATAATGATGCAGGTCCAGATTGAACCTCAACACTTCTAAGAAATACTGAGAAAGTTTTCTAATTAAAAGTGATCTTGGATGGACGATACAACTTTTATGAAGGGACGTAACAGATTAACTTTCCTCACGACCATCGTCTACAGTCTTCATACATTTAATATAGTTCATTGTATTTTTGCTATGAATATTCATTATCTTTTTTTTTGGGGGGGGGGGAGTCAAAATGTTAATTTAATTTGTCAGTCCATGGCACTCATCTCTGGAAAGAGATCGATTCAGAAGTGGGCCGAAATGGATGACCCCCCTCCCCCACCTTCTGCTTTAAAAAGGAAATGTCAGGGGCAAACTGGTCCTACGCCCCTCCCAACCAACTACCACAAAGCCAAATCGAGAGAGTTGCTGTGGTTTTTCAAATTCATTATCTGGTGGGGAGGGGGTTCACCCATCCCCTTTGTCATCTCTATAGATCTACCCCCCCCCCCATAAAATGTGGAATCCACTTGTGCCGAATTTCGTATAACATATTAGCTCTACATTATTTAAGACAATGACTGTATTTTTGAAACTATAACTCGATTGTCTTTATTCTTTGGTAACGTCACATTGAGAATGACCTTACAATGATATTCATTAGATTTTAATCAATAATATTGAATTTGGATTCGAAACATTTAAAAAAATATGGATCAAGCACATTCATCACTTTCTGTTTTGAGTAAAGGCCATGGTTACCTGCCGTACTGCAAACTGGGTCATTACGACCATGTATTTTGTATGAGTTTTATTTTATCCTTTTCTTCTACCATTGCATATGGCATTGGCAATCTGGGTTAGCAAGGATATTCAAAGTATCCGGTTTATACGTAGTGTGCAGGTGAAATCATGATTTATTTCATTAAAGGTACTATGTTCCTTTTGCAGCCAACCTCAAATGCTGCAGAACTTTGCAGGAATTATGAATATGTCAATTATGTCCTATCTGTGAAATTTAAACGTTAGCAGTGTCCTCATATTCAAATTATGCAAGGAAACCCGTTTACTTGCTAGACTTCACTGGCAGACACTATTGAGTGACTGACTGGCTTTTTTTTTCTTTGGTAATAACATACATGAAAAGAGTTGTAAAGGACATGAGCATTTGTCTACATCGATAACCCACTTCTTGTGATGGCCAAGATTAAACTGATTGAATCTTTGCGGAGCATAAAACGTATGACCATTCGGTACAATTATCTGAAAATCAAGACTATTACTTTGGGCTCTATAGCCCTAAAGTCGATTTGACAACTAATAGTCGTTATTTTCCCACTTGAAGACATTTTCAAGCCCCACCTTTTTTAGGGAAGTTCTAAATTAGTATTATCTTTCAAATGCAGTTGGAATAGAACTTTTTCATTTTTTTGGCCTGCAAATGGGACATAGTACCTTTAATGACCCACATGAGTTGTATTTTATAAATCGTACCAGTAGAAAGTTTGATGGATATGACGAACACCTCCCATCCGAAGTTTATTTTTTTTCATTTGGATAAAGTGGTACAATGATGATGATATGCGATGATGACAAACATTTGTGATCCTATGTTGAATTTCCATCGTTTTTTAAATAATTATTATTACATGATATAGTTATGAACAGAACAGTGTAAGGGAAGAACTCTGCGGAATTTCTTGATGAAATATATGAAAGAAATGGAATGTTGTCGTATTCTGTGTGACTTTTACTGGCACTATCTTTTCATCTTCTGTTAAAGCAATCGGTTATGCCGGTAGCACCACTAGTAGATAAAATAATGATAATAATAATGATAATGAAATTGTTAAAACTCTGATGGAAAGTGATGAAAGAGACACGAGGTTGGAATTTAAAATTTGCTCTTAAAAGACAAAAGAGGACATAATTCGCTTGATAAGTCACTTCAGATTCCCCCCTCTTCATCTTTTAAGAGGTTAATTTGTTTAGCATACTGTACATAACATTGTCCATCCCCATTATTTAGATTCTTGTATCATCTTTCTCCGTCTCAATCCATAGTTATTTGATTTCTCTGTTTCTTTATATGTATTAATCGTACAGTATATGAGACGTGTGTTTATCATTATCATTACTTTTAATATTATTATTATTCATATTATCAATATAACTCTCCTTTTCGATGTAAAAGAGGAATAATTTTTAGTATCTCTTCAGGTAGTTTTTCATTTCTCTCTTCTCTCTCTCTTTCTCCCTCTGTTTCTCTCTCTCTCTCTCTCTCTCTCTCTCTCTATTCCACTCTCTCACTCGCCTCCTCCACAATTTCTCTACCTCTTTCTCTCAGTCCTACCATCTCAAGCACATTCCGGTTTCAAGTTTCACAGTAAATAATGAGCAAATCACCACAGTAAATTAGTGTTTGTAATAATCACTGAAAAGGACTATTTTCTTTAATCAATAGGTCGTGAAAAATGAGAAGTTCATGAGCTAAGAAAAGTTGATTTTTCTTGCATAATCTATTTGCTATTACAAAATGTACATCAGTCTTCTTGGTAACATATTCATTATTTCTTATGTTTTACAATTCATAATAAGAACTTCGTGTGTTTTTATAATAATTGAGAATCATGGCCCGCACAACCTCATTTCCATGATAAGTTTCATTTTGTTAATGGAAAAGGTGTAAAGACAGAACAACGAAGAGACCCCAAATATTAGACTTGATCCAATGTGACAATACATAGAACATAAATAGAAGAGATGGGTGTCAAAATATAGATGTGTACCCTTTTCCACCAACATGACCAATGGTTGCGTAGTGAATTTTTAAACAAACATAAAAGTGGATGTACAAGTTCTGATTACAATTCCTTCCGTAGCGTACGTTAATTTTTTCAAATGAAACCAATTGATGACCGAGCATCGTCTGCGCAAAGAGATGTCATTCGCAGATATTATAGACCATAATTAGACACTCAGTTCAACAATGAGATATATAACTGAAGTTTGTAAGGTGTTAACTTATTAGTTGTTTCCTTTGTTATCATCAGGCTGTTAGTTGTAGGATAGAAACCCCATAGCGATCCACTTGATTACAAATAATTGTTAAGTATAGCTTAATTTTTTTACAGATCTTAATAAAACAACATGAACAATCAAAATGGAATAAGTTAATTAATACAAAATATACGAAAACTAAGACCTAGACGCTCCCATTACAGAGTAGATGGTTTGCGTAGCTTTGAGAGGTCACATTCACTCATCAATATTGTCGTTCAAGTTCCCTTCAAAATCATCGTTCAATCCTCCTCCGTTCAATGGTTGCTCTTTACCTCACTAGAGTAGAGCGGTGCTCCCAAAACAGAGTTTTGCTCTTTGCAATTCAACTCACATTTCTTAAAGAATTGGTCACCATTCACCGAATATATGCAAATACTTTCAAACGTTAAAAGTATGATAAAATCTCACACACTTTCCGGGCTTCGCGGCCGTCGCCATTTTTTCTTCAACTGGAAGCGATAAAATTATTTTTGTTTCGCATAAGAAATACACAATGATATTCATAAACATAACTGTACAAGAATCATTTTATCTGCATAGTAAAACCAATAACCCAAATTGTATGCTTGCGAAATCATTAAAAATGTGGTATCATTTATAACATTATCTGTCATAGACTCGGCCGAACAATTCAGTTCAATGGTGCATGCATTTGAATGATGGCATTACACAATTTTGTTAAATTTTGAAGGACTTCTTGAACAGTTGTGTAATTTGTTTTCATGGAGCATGAAAAGGAAGTACGGTTGGTGGTTTTCCGAAATCGGGAATCGGACTCCGATAACGGGGTAATTCTATTTTTGATAGTAACCATGGTAACTGCTGTTTTAAATGACAGGTAAAATGTTCCACACAATGACAACAAATATGAAGTCTTTTTTAAAAAAGGTTTCCATCGATTTCAAAAGTGTCAAACAATGCCATGAGATTACGAGAACAATATCAATAAACTGTCTGATCCAGTAATGAGGAACATGGGCCATTTTACGGATGACACTTTGAGGTATGTATTGGACCTCAGGAAAGTAACATAACAAAAGACCAGGTGGGGGTAATGCTTCAAATATCAATAAGGTAGACCACTGGTTTCACTTTCACTCCAGAATGGACTTGAAGTGATCCGAGAAACGGTGTGCAATGCTCAAAAACACACATGGAAATTGCAAAATCAACTTGTTGCTGACAGAAACACGACTACATGGCAAAGTTTCGGGGAACATCATGCAATTGATGCTTCCAGTTTGAATATGAGGGGGAAATAAGAAATAGTAGTACAATATTGATTTCTATTGAATAATGACCACATTGTCAATATTCTTACGACGACGCAAACAAATATTTAAAAATTGAGTATAACAACAGCAAAAAAAATACTTGACAAAGAATGTGAAATAGGATTTGTTCTAGCGGATAAGTTGAGTGGAGAGGGTAGAAGCTTGTCCTACCTATGGTCCACCACGTAACTTAGCAAAATAGTTATTAAGTGAATATCTATTGCAATGCTTGCTAGACATCTAATATAACATAATTAACAAAATCTAGATATGTACGTGTTCAGTTATTCGTGGACACTGTATTCACATGAAACTGTTTTAAATATCGATATGGAACATCATGAAACATCTTAAATAAAAATATTAAATTACCCAAAGCTACATCACTTCCACTTTGTATATAAATCTTACAAAACACCATGGTAAGTAAGACAATAGCTTTGTAATGCAGTCATAGATGAAATCTGCATTTCACAGACACAATCAACGAATAAAATAAGAATCCTTGAAAATGTAAGATTTGCATGACAAAATGAGATCAAGATCATGAAGGTATTCGTACCGAACAATCTTTGAATTCAAACCAAGAGTAGAATGCAGCTACTAGACTTGAAATCAGCCTTTACTGAGCCATGGAGTAATGCCCTTTCTTTAAATATGGAAAAAGAAAATAATAAATCACACACTTTTTAATGGCATTTGTAACCCCATAGGTCTCGTATCTTGAAAAGAGGAGCCTCAAACTCAGACTCGGAGGCACGCGTTTCCCACGCCAGATTGGCCGGCCTCTTCTGACACTAACATACATTTCATAGTCTATAAAATCATGTCTCTACCGAAGAATATAAGCAGTCTCCAAAGTCTTTGATCAATAAATTTCTTTCAACACACACAATAATCTTTCAACTCAAAGACGTTCTTCTCTTAAGTATGCGAATTGCCACTTTGTACTCCAAATTTGCAGAATGGATAATATTGCAAACCATCTGCAGGAGATTCACAGGTACAGAACTCATCATAAAGAGTACATGGTCTCCATTCAAACAAAAATACATCAATCCATATCCGATGCGAATCATCATCTCCATTACACGACCTTCATCGTTCTAACAGCTTTGGTTTTGATTCTCTTGTCGTACTTCCTTCAGAACAGCCGAAGAACACACTCGAACCGAATCGCACTTGCATCAGGTTGCGAAACATATTCTTGAAGATTCGCTTAACGTACTGTCAATCAATTCTGATACTGTTACTTGCACCTGACAGTGGTCAAGGAAAGCAAGTTGCCGCCGAGAGTCACTTGGAAGTCGGTTTGGTTCAATACAAGCACGACTGTGCATTTGACATGTTTGAGGCGTCTGTAAGTGCAGCTAGAAAGCTACCGTTACTGTCACAGGGCTGGTTGGTCTCTTGGGGCAGGTACATGTCGAAGTCTTCCCTCGCAAAATCAAGAAAGTCCTCATTGCACAGCTGATCAAAGGTCATGCATGTCAGGTCATCAGGTTGCATGACGTCACACATTGCCTGAGAAGGGTAGGTGTTCATCTGAAGCGTTGCCTGGTACTGCGCGTTGTTCTGTGCGTTGTTGAACCCTTGTTGTTGCAGCTCGACCGTCTGGAGTTGTTGCTGCTGTTGCTGCTGCTGCTGGAAAATGTGTGTCTGCATCTGCTGTTGCATGTGTTGATGTTGATCGTGTTGATGGTGTTGCTGCTGAGTTGCGACGATGTTCTGTTGCTGAGGACATGGATTCTGAGACATCGCAACGAGTGCCCTGAGATTGGAGCTAGCAGACATGGTAGCTGTTACATTCATTTGGTTTGTCAGTTCAGCGTTATCTACCACACACTGCTGCTGGAACTCGTATACCCCTGGTTCAGACTTGATGACCATGCCAGGACTGTGGATTGGTGCAAAGACATTTGACGTTGCCTGCACCCCAGAAAGGTTGGGCTGCATGAGGGTATCTGAAGATGAAGAGGGTGGGAAGGTAAAGACATTATCCGAATGATCGATGGGTGACATCTCTGGGGTTGGAAGACCCACCATGTGGCCAGAGTCTGATTTATTGTACTGCGTAAGGGTGTTACTTGAGAGGGGGTCGTAGATGCTCTGGAAAGAGGGTAGCTTGTACTTGCAGTTGTCTATCAGCCCGCCGGGCATGTTGCCATTGAGGTTATCCATTGGGGTAGGTGAGGTCCTAGGTGATCCTTCTGGTGTCGGCATTGCGCTTGAAGGGAGTCCGTTGGTCTGAGGAGTTGTTGGTGAGGGTGTAGAAGGTGTGGATGAGCTTGAAGCATCTCCGCTGCTTCCGTCACGGCTGCGACTCTGACGCTTCTTTCCCTTGCGGCGGCGAGGGCGGTACTTATAGTCTGGATGATCGGCCATGTGCTTCAAGCGGAGTCGTTCAGCCTCCTCAACAAATGGCTGCTTCTGCATAAGAGTGAGACTGCGCCATGCCTTACCTAATAGTGGAAGATAAAACAGAGAATATCCATCAGAACCTTATCACCAAAATGGCCATAACTTTAGAAGACTAAGAAGGGGGTACACTTTAGGATAAAATATGAACAGGCTAAATCAATTGACAGACATTATTTTGTTTGACAATGTCCACTTAACAATATGTTAACTCAACTATTATGCAAAGGGAATTATGATAAAGGTTGTAGACATTTCCCATTGACTGAATTTTCAAATCAATCAGCACGACCTTTATTGTATGTCATTTACTGTACTGATGATGATCACTCTATATCATTATGTCTATTTGGTTCTAAAAACATGATTGCTATTTCCTGTACATAATGCAGGTATCATAGCCTTTTACTATAGAATCAATATATGTGTAAACCATTATGATAATGCATATGTTGCATATTGAACTTGTGTTTTCATTCCAATGTCATTAACTAATTATGTTGACTCAATGACTTGTGTATGTGTGGATTTCATACACTGTACATGGTATAGGCGTATAACATCAATTCGGCAGCCTAATAATAGCGACAGTATCGCCAAAGACGGCAGTCCTATTAATTTACTCAGGTACCCTTTTATTTCCATGCATAACAAATGCAACGCTGAAGGGCATAATAGGTAAAGCAATCTACAATTTAATTAGCTCCAAACCCACGCAATACTGAGTCTCCTGAATAGAAATTATGATACAGGCAGAAGAGTCGATCATTAGAAGGGTCGGTTTCATATGTCATCTTTCAAACTTGCAATGAATAACATTAGTCTTTCATCAAAAGTATTAACAGCTTTAATTCATACCGGGGACGAATTGTTATTCCTTCAACAAATTGTTTGTTTCGTGTGTGTGTGTGGGTGTGTGTGTGAGAGAATAGAGATAAATTCCGCAGTTTTGTTTTATTGCATCTGCCAGTAATCTCATATTTCATACTTTAATTCAGTTTTTGCTGGGTTGCGACGCAATTTCAAATGTTCTTGAAATGAAAAGCTTGAGTATATAGCTGACGATTTTGTCACAAAATAAAAGACAACTTGATGGATAATATTACAAGGCAATGTGAGCAACATCATCATCCCTGGGGATATCTGATCCGGGAGATGGACTTGAGCTCGAAGGGCCGAACCAGGGTATAACAGGGGCGGGAGAAGTTGATCCGCCAATTTTGGTTGCTAGGTCATAAAACCTCTTCGCGTCGTCTGCATGGCAACCGCACAGCTCGACAAGGCTGGGCAGATAAGCACTTAGTCTGCGAGTGTCAGACTCGTTGGGGGAGGTGGTGATTACCGCAATCAACAGGTGATGAAAGCCTGCGTTAGACGAATTGACGGGAACAGAATATCGCGTATCAGGATTATGAACGGGAACACTCATTTCCAGTATTAAAAGGAAGGCCTATCTATTTAGCAATTCTAAAGAAAACCTAGTTGACTATCACCTTAAGTATTGCTCAGTAAGCATTGCGAAGTTCTTATTCAAACCATGTCCCTGTTCAAACATTAGTGTGAATTATTACGATTTACGAGCCAAATGGGGATACTATTTGCAGAAAAGGGTCTGCGAGAAAAGACCACTGCCTTGAGCTGACACGCGTGTAGCAGTCACGTTTCGCAGTCACATCTACACGTACTCGACTCCGTGCTGAGGTGAACAGGTGAATGTCTTAAAGGGACATATCAACCATTCAACAATGCACGTATGATTGAAGATAAGCTCTAAACAAAATTAAAAGTGGTTGCTAATACTGAAAACACATAATCATGATGAGTATATCATGATCTTAATGATGAAACATGACACAGGTGTCGCTTTTCGTATCTTATATCTCCCTTTCGTTTGCCTTACTTTGAATATTCTTTGATCTTCTCTCCAAATACCTCTATCTAGGCTGATAGACCAACATAAAACACCACAGTCCCCTTCGATATAATTGCCTATGTATATGAAAATAGACTTATAGACCTATATCATTTTCTTGCCATGGTTTCCTAGTGTTCCCATTTCCTTTTGAATAATGTCTTCCTTTTCTAAACGCTGCCATGTTTCCTGATCTCAGCGGATGCCACTGGAGTAGGTGAAAGTAAAGATTATGTTGCGTTGCCATTTTGTTGGCATCCTATTCAAAAGTATTGCTCTCATGTTGGACATAAGTTTTGTCCTTTTTAACGGAGCCATAAAATATTCCTATGGAGGGTAGGGGGCAAGGGTCTGTAATGAAGCGTAACATTCACCCGGATGTGGCTATTGTATGGGGTAACATAAGAATTGAAATAACGGTGCACATGGATTTATTAACAAAAGACACTCGATTATATTTACAACGCAATGAAAAATGGTGGGTAATAATTGCCGTTTGTGACGAGGTTGGGGGATTTGTATTCCGTAATTGAATTTGGAGCATTATGATTAGGGTCGCACCAAGTTCATGGCAGTGTTGTGGCGACAATCGCTCGGGTACCCCCGGGGACCGATGAAGAGGGGCAATTATGCACCCATGTGGTAAGCAGTTACTGGTATACTGGCTCCTTGATGAACACGTGGCAGCCAGTCAGTCTGGCAGTTAACCGCCAATGTCACGGACATGTTTGGCAATTAAAGTTTTGACAAGCTTCAATAAACGTTACTCGCTTGGATTGAAGAGGAAAGGAAAAAGCAAAGAAAACCCGAAAATGAATTTTCTTGAGTTATAGGCCAACATGTCTAATCTTAATCTTAACCCAATCGCACTCTGAACTTAATATTATTACTAACTTTTACAAACATCTAATCATCTTTTTAGCTTCAGCGCTATTTCTAAATTTTTCAACACAATTTCTCTGGAAAAAATGGATGACGGCTACGTAGAATTTATATTAGAAACACTGCCAATTGCGCAACCGAATCGTGTCAACCCGTTTGTCAAGAAAGATTTGCGTGTTCCTTCAAACGGAGCTCTTTCACCGCTGGGGGCAAACGTGACACATATTTGCATAATTCCGCTTGCCACTCTCGTTGTGATCATTACGTCAGCGGGGAGATACCCATTCCTCCCCAATAGCTATCTGCGGGCAGTGACCTCTTGAATCCCCTTCCCAGCCACAAGCTGCTGGCAATGGATACCCCCTCGTCCCTGGGACTGGCGGCCGCTCGCCCCAATTCTCTTGGGGGCGAAACCTACGGGTGGTTGCCTAATCTAATTGCATTAGGATACGAATAGGAACCCTTCCACTATGTTCACGCCTTAATAGGCAATGAATAATGATTATGACGGTCGAACGTACCCTTGGCCAGAGCCATATATACAAGAGTTTGGCAGATTCCAGTTGGACCCGATGGCGTATATATACATATGCATTTACATATTTTCCTTGTTTGTTTATATCCAAGCAGGGAGATGAGAGTTTAAATCCCTGGTCCAAGCAACACTCGGCATGGTATATGATTGTGTTGGCGAAACCCTGAATTATGAGTCGACGCTCGGCATCGGCATCCAATCGATTTTTTTAAAGGATGATTAACAGAGCCACCGCCAATCTTTCCTTTTGTTTTTTTTTACATCAATTTCATTTTTTTTTTAAACGATAACTTCATAAACAGATCTAGACCTTCTGTTCTCCCGAGTTCTTCAAGGTTTTGAACTCGTATTTTTCATAATAATTATGCGGGTAATTTCAAGTGGAGGCGTGTGACAAACTAGGGAGGAATCAAAACAAATTTTATACGGGTATCCCGTTTGTTAAGGTGACCTTCTAAATTTTAATATTAGTTTTAATTTTCATATGAAGTTACCCGTTACCCAATTATATATATTACCCTGTTATAATATAATAAAAGCGCTTAGAGACATTGTCGATGTATTAAGCGCTATACTTTGGAGGACACCAAATTAGGGGACTGCCTTGAAAAGGATAAAGGCAGCAAACACAAAGCCGATTACACCTTTTGCTAATACTTTAAGGTGCTTAGTAAACTTATTCTGATCAAAACAACTTCTTCTCCTTTGTTGCGAAATCCAATTCGTGTCCCTAACAGTACTCAAAGCTTGCTTCCTTAACTCCATGCTTCCTGCTAGAGAAAGTGCTAGTCTACTAGAAGTTACAGGTAGAAGAGAAATGACGAGGGGTGGGAAAGAGAAGGGTGGTGACACACTCCCTGCGAGAGGTTGGGGTGGGGCCGGTTGAGTTATTTACACCACGGTCAAAACATTAATGTAGTGTAATTGGGGCTATGGATGTAGTGACCAATGAAAACTTCTTTCATGAAGGTCTAATCCTCAAGACGCAAGTATATATTTTCATTCGGACATGACTGAACTTGCCCTTGTCCCCCGCTAGAGCCTAGGAGCAGATGGAACCATCTTCTCGTAATCCCCTACTTACGGATTAAAAAGGATCAAGGGAATAATTACGGTTCGATATACCTAACGACTGTCACTTCGGATTTCTTCCTCACAAGTTTGTTGACCTCCGAGTCGTTTAATAGAGATTCCCATCAGGAAATAACTATTGCGCATCGATACTCTTAATACAAACATCTTCTAAATAAGCTGGTACAGAGTTAAGAGTGTTATAAACACACGTCACGTGTGTGTAATCTAAACATGTAGGTTAAAACTCCGCCCCTAACAACCGTCTCTTCTATAAATATTGATAACAGGGATAGAGTTGGTATCACGTATAGAATATGATGGCCACAGCAGAAGACATCCTGAAAAGCACTTTGTCAATAATTCAATATATTCATATTTTTGTATCGTATGAATTTGGAGCATGTTTCGTCAAGCTGTCACAATTCGCACTCACAGCGTTGTGAATAAAATTCACGTGATTTTGCTCGGTCCGTTTCTCTGCCGTTTAACCATCACAACAAAAAACATCACCTTCAACTGCAGTAAAGCGTGAAGGACCCGTTTATATATATTTATTTTCTCTCTCCCTATTGTGACACGTCACGGCACAGTATACCACGCATCACGTTTTCTTGCTACTTAGCCTATCTCCAAGCCCAAAC